ATTCCCACATGTCCTGCCTGCCAAGTCCGAACTGATAAAGTTTTACTCACAGAAAATCACAAGGCAGTCCACAAAAATAGTCATTCACGAAGAAAATCTGAAGTAAGGTTAAACTTTGTCCCGTACAAAGTTTCAGGAGAAAACACACCCACTTTTATCCCTTGTGGGGTGTGGCTCAATGACTCAGCTCACTCTCTGACTCTCCCACGCCTCCTACATTGCTGCTCACGTTTCTCCCTACGATGCTGCTTAGGATCGAGCCAACACTCTTCCTCTTTACTCCCTGTCAGGGGCTGCTCCGATATGCCTTCCTCCTGATTAATCTCAGGCTGTTCCTCTCAGTTGTCTGATGGAATCTGAGGCATTATCAGGGAGGAAGGTCCTGGGGAGGAAGGCATTGCCAGAGAGGAAGGTCCTGGGGAGGAAGGCATTCCCAGTTCCTCCTCCTCATCTTCCAGGTCCTCTTCCTCTGACAGCATAGGCTCGGGAATTGGGGCCACAACATATATATGCATAATTTTGTATTTATTTTGTTATGTGTATGTAGTGTATATTGGAGGTGATGACCCTTTGAAAGCTGTATGCAATGAAATTTCATTCTAATGTATGCCAATTAATGTACACTTAAAGTGACAATAAAGTTATTCTAAGTTGTAAGTAAGTCTAAGTTCCTGGGATGTTTAATTGTTTTACTTGCCCCAAACAGTTTCTTCTAATAAAACTGAATTCAATCCTTAGTTTTCATCTAAGATTTGATTTTTAAATATTGCACTGAAAAGGGATCTAATCCTCTTTTTAAATATTTTTCAGCACTGAAGCAATGGCTATCATGGTTGAGCACGGTACAGCCCGTCCTAATGGTACAGACAGCTGGAATGGAACAAACACATCCTGCCCTTGGTCAGAAGTCTGGCAACAGTTGTTACGTATCCAGCCTTCCTTTCTCTGGTTTCTTACTATAGTGGGAACACTGGGGAATATATTTGTTCTCATTGTCTGGTGCTTCCATAAGAGCCGCTCCACTGTGGCTGAAATTTACCTGGCAAATTTAGCAGCAGCTGACCTTCTGTTGCTCTGTGGGTTGCCTTTCTGGGCTATCAACATAGCCAACAACTTCCATTGGCCATTTGGGCTCATCCTTTGCAAAATCATCAACTCATTCCTTGTTATCAACTTATATTCAAGCATTTATTTTGTGGTCATGGTGAGCATTGATCGCTACTTGGCTTTGGTGAAAACAATGTCTCTGGGACGCATGCGCCAGCCAGTGTATGCCAAATGGAACTGTTTTGTGATTTGGGTTTCTGCCCTTTTCCTTTGCTTTCCTACTCTGGCATTCAGGTCATTAAAGGGTGTGAATGGATATGTGGCCTGTATTTTGAACTATCCTGCAATTCAGTGGACAATTACCACGGCCATTTTGCTGAACACAGTGGGCTTTCTGATACCAGTCTGTATCATTACCTACTGTTCTGTTCAGATCATCCAAACTTTACAAAGCCGTGACATTCAAAAGATCCAAACCATTCGAACTGAGAAAAAAGCCACCATACTGGTTCTTGCAGTCCTTCTTCTGTTTATCATCTGTTGGCTTCCATTCCAGATCACCACATTCATAGATATGTTATTTCAAATGCATATCATTTCTGGTTGTGATGTAGATCAAGGCCTTGCTGTGGCTAGTCAGATTTCTTCCTATTGGGGTTTCATCAATAGTTGTCTTAACCCAATTGTCTATGTCATCATAGGCAAACGTTTCCGAAATAAATGCAAGGAAGTCTACTTTGGCAGAGTTCTTCGAAGACCTAGCGCAGCGCCCTCAATGATGACCATGGAAACTCTCCATACTTCCTTTTCAGTAGATAATCAAAGGAAAAAATCTGCTGCTAGTTTATCCCAAAAGCATAATTTGCTTATTTCATGAAGAAGAAGATAAGAGATTAAGTAAAATTATTTTACATGGGACTTCATTTTTAGTGATAGACTAATTTATTACTGATTAAAGTTTGTGAAAGCTGACATTGGTTTGCATAGGACGCCAGCTCCAGTCAATGAATGGGCCTCAGTATGTTTTTACATATTTGCTTGTATATATGTATATGTGTATATCAAATATCTGCATCAGATATCAGATTCTGAAGATCCTTTTTTAAAAAAAATATTTCTGCAAAGAAAAATCATGTATGTCTACTATAGTATTTTAATAGGGAATTCAAAGATGCTCAAATACTTGGGAAATCTTCTGATGCATTCCCTTGCTCTGGAATCCTTGCTCTTTTGCCATAAGAATACACCTGAGCCATTGTAAAGGCTCTTTTTGGCTTGAACATGAGAGTTAGCTTAAATCCTATCCAGAATATACAAAAAGGAGAAGATGACTGCTCCTGCTGTAACTTCCATGCAAAAAGCTCCAAGTTGCAACACATTCTGTGTCAGCTCCAAGCATTTACTTTCCGGCCAGATAAGGATAATCAGTTGTATAACTGTTTACCCATAAGGCCCTTTTAACAAAGTCTGGTACTCAGGAAGCAGCCCTGCCATGATGAATACTTCCGACCCCTACACTTTCAGTTCTTATTCACCCTGACTAGGAGCTAAAGCTATATGCGGAGTCCTTAACTTATGACCACAATTGAGCCCCAGATTTATGTTGTTAAGTGAGACATTTGTGAAGTGAGTTTTGCCCCCATTGTATTGCCACATTTGTTAAGTGAATCACTGCAATTGTTAAGTTAATAACAAGATTGTTAAGTAAACCTGACTTGCTTGTCAGAAAGGTTGCAAAAGGTGATCTCTTGACCCTAAGACAATGCAACCATCTTAAATATGAACCAGTTGTCAAGCATCTGGATGTAAATCACATGACCGTAGAGACGCTGCAAGGGTCCTAAGTGTGAAAAACGGTCATAAGTCACTTTTTTTCAGTGTTTCGAACAGTCACTAAACCAGGGGTCCCCAAACTTGGCAACTTTAAGACTTGTGGACTTCAACTCCCAGAATTCCTCAGCCAGCATAGCATAGACTTTGTTAAAAGGGCCTTATGGGTAAACAGTTATACAATTGATTATCCTTATCTGGCTGGAAAGTAATAGCTGGCTGAGGAATTCTGGGAATTGAAGTCCACAAGTCTTAAAGTTGCCAAGTTTGAAGACCTCTGCACTAAGTGAACTGTTGTAAGTCAAGGAATACCTACAATAGACACCTAGAGTTGCTTCAGTTATTCAATTGTCTAATAAACCTCCACCTGCCCTGACTATAGAAACTAATGGGGATAGCAGGGGAGAGATAGTTATGGGGCATAGGGACAGGTCTGGAAGTACTGGTAGTATTATTCCATGACATCAGCCAGCAGAAACCAACATAACTCTTCTCATTGGTGTAGCTAGCCCTGAATGTAGTAAAAGTGTGAAGGGCCAGATTATCCCTTTTTCCTCAATGAACCACTGGCATCTAGAGAACACTCTAAAAGCAGTGATTCTTTTTGTCTGAATTCTATTGAGTTCTATTGCATTGGCAATATACAATTGCTCCACTTTACAGTACGGTGAGTCAAAGGCAGAGCGAGGTAGCGATGTTTTGTCAGAGACCAACTAAGGCTTTCAACTGCAAAACTTGAATCGTGTTCATATTTTAAATGCTGTCTTAAGTCAGTTGTAAACCTATATTTCTTTGAGTGGGTTTGTTTGCCACTGAAACTATGAGTTAATAATATTTGTGTTGTTTCTATTGCTTTACTTGATCTGTATACATATATGTTTATAAATATACTCCTAAATGCACATGAACACATGTAATTTTTTAAAAGGTCAATTGCTTTGAAAACAGTTTTCTTGTAGAAAATATTTTCTCCTGTAGAACTATTATGCTGTATCTTGCTGACTTAGGAATCAAACAGTTCTCTCAATTCCAAAATTGTTATTTTGTCATAAAGGTCTTGAACTGTACTTAGCACATGTTAAATAAAATTAATATTTGCTGAAATTCTATTTTATTTAATCAGCTATTACTAATTCTAGAATTTTGTATTTTCTAGTATTCTCCATGTAGATTCCAAAAAAGTAATGGGATGAACACAGCCTATCTATTCAGTAGAACCACATTACAACTTCATCCCTCCACATAATCATGTTAGTTGCATTGAAACAGTATTTGTTCTGAAATACTCAAAAGTATTTCATGAAATGTTCAAAAGAATGAATTGAAATTCAGGATGGTAATCTGCTGACACTGTGATTCTCATACCAGGGATATAGCACTGAAAGAGTTGCTGAATTATCTCCCAACAGTTTTCTTTCCAGGTGATTATGGTAGGAATTGTAGCTCAACCACATCTAAGTTCCCCATTAACTCCTAATTTATAGCTTTCATTGTTCACGTGTTTCAGATATAAAGATATAAACATTTTAAACACATTTGTCTAATCTGGAGTCATTCAGATGGATGGTGCTTCACATTATATAACCTTCTATCTTAACTGTGGTAGCCTGAAAGTATGTTGAGATCTAATGACAAATATCTAGGAGAGCCACTGTATGTCAGCAAGCTGCTCTGAGTCTCAAATACTTAATGATAAAGAAATAGCTGTGCATATACATATACTAGTTCAAAGCTGCCAAACTCCAGCCAATGGGCTGGATGCATCATGTGCTGGCCACGCCCATGCCCGGTTTAGCGAAGGGGGAAAAAGTTCTGATATGTCATGTGACGATGCCGTGACGGCGTGAGTTTGAAACCCCTGTACTAGTGGGTCAAATATTTTTAATCAAGGTTAATCAAATAAATCACAATGGCTGATTTGCACACATACTATTGTAATTATATTTGCACAATCAAAGCAAACAGCAGTATGACTTAGTGAATCCATCTGCTAACTTTTTACTTCTATGAACTTTGAGGAAAAAGGAGCATGAGTTTAGTTTAATCATAGTACTAAAAGGAACTTCTGAGCCTCAAAATATGGACAAAGGCACCCTCGTCTTTATTTATAAGCAGATGGTTTGCACAACCTAGCTGGTAACAGCCCTTGCCAGCCTTGTCATTTGTCTAGCAAGGACCCAACAAATTCATAGTATGTTTGCAATTTGGATATATTTGAAAGCAAATTTATCTTTGAATATTTGATTGAATATTCAGAAATTCAAAACAAAATATAAAATTAATTCTAAACACTGCCAGCCCATTTCTCTAAAACATGAACGTGTGTACAGTAACATATATTGTATTGTATCATGAAATAAGTTTTTCTGCCAAATTAAAAATGTCATTATCAGTCCAACAGCAATTTTATTTCTGTAACGGGCCTGGGAAAAATAGGGGAGTTTAGAAGATAAATGTGGAAAGTTGTTTAGCTCTTCAATCACTTCTGTCTTTTGCGACTTAAGTTAATGGGCATCGTTTTGTCAAAGTTGTCCATGAGATACTTTCTTAGCACTTCAGCTCAATCGTGATTCCTGACAGCCAGCTCCATTTTTCCTTTCCAGTTAAACTCAACATTTGCTGGCTCCTAGTTTTCTTACATAGTTCCCTTTGATAATAAAGCAGACAGCAGGTTTTTAGAAGTTCAAAATAGTCTCGTAGAAAATATTTTCACAGGTTACAGGTTATCAAGTTTTCCACTGTGCTGAATCAAAGTGCTATCCACCCATTCTTGCACTAATGGAAAATATACCGGCCTAAAATTTTCTGACTTTGTTGCCTCTATTTTGCCTCTATTGCCCTCGTTTTATTTTGCTGCTGAATGGTGGTACAGAATCCTGATTTCATTTGTGCAGGGTATGTTAAACAAAGTAATTGGTGAAATGTTCTGTCCTGTCACATCTGCTTTCTTTCAGAATGCCAACAGACAGGAAGTCATCCATCAATCTGAACAGAGGCTTGAGTTTTTGACAGGTGCCTCTCTTTTTCAACTGCTCATGTCAAAGCATGAGAACACACCTCTCAAAACATTAAAGTCCTGCTATATTTGTCAAACCATCTTGGTATCCCTTGGAAGCTTGCCAAACAGGTATTGGAGAGGCTGAGGGGGAAGCACAGTAATGCAGATGAGAAGCTTTCTCAAAACCAGGCATCTCTACAGCGAGAAAAAGTCACTTTAAGAGCAGGAATTCTGCATATTTCCCATGAGCTTCCTTAGAGATGGTCCTCATGGAAGGAAACATCTCAAAGAGAGTCTGATTGAAATGGCCTCCCAAGGAACTTATTATTTTCAAATTTGTTAAGCCCAATGTAACTAGCAACAAGGAAGTCTGTGGTTCAGACTTTACAGATTGACCTCAATAATTGGTATTAATAACCCCTATAAGTATTTTTACAATGATTTTAATCAACCACAGGAGAATGTGTCACTCCACAAACAGTATTGCAGAGGGTGGAACGAGGGCCAAGCTTAGAGTTCATTTCCATTTGATTAAAATTAAGCTTCTTTCATAAGACTACGGTACTGGTCAATTATTTTAAAAATTATGACTTGGTAACTGTGTTTGGAGGGTTATGATTAAGGGTTGCATTTGAGATTTTCAGGAATCTACTCAAGTCTCAGCTTGTCCAAATTCAAGCAAATTAATGTGAAGGTTTACAAAAACATTTTCTTTCAAATATGCAAGATTTCAACCACCGAAGGTGATGAGCGTTGGGGATAGTAGGAATTGAAATCCATCAACTTTAGCTGACGCTGGCTGAAGATTGATTCATAAAATGGATATTAGCACTGTTCATTGCAACATATTGTCTACACCTGTACCTGTTACTTTGTAGGGTAAAGGGCAACTTTATGGATACAATTTTATTTATGGAAAAAAGTTTAGCAGAAGATTAACCAATAAATCTTCCTGCATGCTGGCAGCACTGACTATACCAGAGTTATGTCAAGTCAGGTTCTAAATTCAGATTTAATGGACTTTGATGAAAATGTAATTCAAAAGGTTA